CTACAATTTGCTCTCAAGATAAGATTTGATATGAAAATAAAATGCGTTTATTGCGCGCCTCTAAGAATCGGGTTTTAGCGTATGAAAGGATTTTTTTTTTTTGAGTCAACAACGATTTATTATTATATGCTTTTAGTGAAACTATTTGAGAAATAATAATAATATGTGTTGTGGAATACTGGATATACAATGCAGCTAATTATCTATTATAGATATTTACTATCATATATTCATATATGTTATAATATGTATCTACAAAATCGTGATGGGGACCGCCTTTTGACTATAACTATTACTATTGCAGGGTAGCATAAACGATTGTTGAACATTAAATTAATAATGAGCTGATGGCTCCTTTATAGATAAATAATAATTATCGATTTAAGAAATAACTAGATATAACTATGCAAAATCCAGATCCAAACCTACAACTAGGCACCCACCTACACCCACTCATGTTCGTAAACATTGTTGGGGCGACACATAAACTAGGTACATGATAATAAATATTGTTTTTTACAATAACCCATAAGGATTGAGGATTTAATCAGAAAATATAAACTGCTATTATTTTTTTTAAATTAACACACTAACAGTATAATTTAGTTTAGAAACACAAGAATATATAATTAAAACAATGACAAAATTATAAGGCTCATTTGATATTTTATTAAAAAAAAAAACAACAAAAAAATGTTAAAAATAATTGTTAAAATTACAATTTTCTGTAAGCTATAGCATGATTTTTTTCTTTTTTTTTTCAAAAACATATCAAAGTAATATAATTTGTTTTTATTAATAAATAACATAAAATTTAAAATTTATAACTCATTATTAGTATTTTAAAAAGCGCGAGGTATTAAAGGAATAGACACAAATGAAAAAAAATATTATAAATTAAATACCGATTGAATACAATATTAATTTAAACACACATTTTGGCACAAAATTATAACGTAACTGTAATGACTCAAAACAAATTCAACAACATCAAAAATAATACATTATTATAACAAAGTAGTTATGAAACGAAAAACATTTTAAAAACAAACGGCTTTAAATCATATAAAGGAAAAATCATCAAAACATATAAGAACATAATAAAATTACATAAACTTAATTAATAATACTGAATAGAAAAAAACATGAACTAAAAAAAAAAAACTACACTGCGTACATAACATAGATAGAGGTAAGATCTTTAATAATAATAATAATAATAATAATAATAATAATTACTAAAAGAACCTTATTGGTGAAAACAAATATGTGATGACTAGGTTGTTTTGCTTATAATGTTAAGATATACATATTATAATATAATAATTTATTTAGAGTAATAATAATAATAATAATAATAATAATCAACTTTTTGGATGAGATTTTTAGAGTTTTGTTAAACAGAATAACAATAATAACTAGGTATATAATATTTGATTTCAATTATAGTATATAATATAAAAGTAATTATTTAAACATAAATATAGTTTAATAGAACATGTGATTTGCACATGAAAACTAAAATAATTTTAAAATGATTAAAAAACGATTTTACACTACCTACGTCTATATAATAAAATAAAAAAATGTTTTTTAAAATAATCTATGAACTTCTCGAAGCCACAAACAATTAACATCACGGTTAAAGTAAATAATACTAATAATAATATTAATAATAACAAATATTGGGAAGTTTTCAGCACCCAGAAGAAGATTGAAATAAAGAAATAAAATTGACAAGCCCATAATATAATGAACGTATTATTATAATTAATTATTAAATTTAAGTGCATTAATGTTCTTTATATAAGTGGTAATCATTTTAACTAATGATAATTGTGTAATATTAAAATGTAATGCTTTGATTTATGTTTTCCTAGCACTATAATAATAATAATAATTATAATAATAATAATAATCATAATAATAATAATTAATAATGATGATGATAATAATAATAATAATAATAATATATTCCATTCGGACAACGTAAATAATTTGTGCATAATAATATAATACGAGTATATAATATATATTATTATATATTATAAACGACGCAGTTTTAAACATTAAAAGTAAATAATATAATTTGTGTAGACACATCTTTACGCCTTTCTATATAATATGTTTATATAAATATATAGACAATTAATCACTAATGGTATATATATTAGAATTTTTTATAATTAAACCTAAGTTATTATCACTAATAGCTTTTATAATAATATATTGTTTAATATATATATATATATATATATATATATATATATATTTTAAATTTTTTTATTATTAAAAAATAGGTACGTCGGTCGCCGTTCGAAATCTTATAGTCGTTCAGATTCATAGAATTTAAATGAACAAAATCGTTAATAAAAAAAAAAATCAAGCTATAAACTACTGCGGTCTTTGACCATAATACGAAAACACCTATAGGTAACACGTTTAACGTTATCGATAAGCCTATTTATATCAATAGCTGTAAAAAAACAAAAAAAAGTCTATATAAATCGTACGTAATAGTATTATTAAATTGCTTTTATGAGCATATTCGTATTATTACATTATAAATAGGAAATGTTAAAAAGACATATTTTATTTTAAAAAATATGTGATCTACTGCGGATATAAACATGATCCGTTCGAACCCGTATGCATAAATATCATCGTTAAAACCTACCGTCGTGAGCGAAAACACTAAGCAGATCTATATAGGAAATTTCACAACAATAAGTTATATGACAAAATATTATTGTGTTTCGAATATTGTTTAGAACAGTGTCGGCGGAAAGGATGCTGCTGCTGCTGCTGCTGCTGCACGTAGCATTATGCGAAATTTGGTATTAGCGCCGTTACAGCAGTTATATCCCACTGTGGATCGTGTATGTGTGTGTATGTATAGTAGGTATCCGTGGCATATAATTTCGCAAACAGGTATCGGGTAATAATAATACGTAAATAATATGGATAAAAGTCCCCGACAAATCATTCGACGGCGCGCGTTTACATTACGTACTTACGGGGGTCGATGAGATATAATTTTTAATTTTTCGCGATCGCTGTGTAATACCTATTTAACAGTAATTCGCGGGATACGATAAAAAATAACGTGTAACGCGCACAGCGGTACGACGATGACACGAGGATTTCGGTTTAGCATCAACAATTTGAGTATTCGCTTTCCGTTCAAATCTAACGACGCCACGCGGCTTGGTAGGCGGGTATACATATATTAGGTTTACGGTTCACGGCAGTCCGCACACGGGCTCGTGCGAACGTCTGTTCCGAATGACGATAAAAGCCGGATGGTAGCTTCCGCGTCAAGTCTCGTCGTTTCGGAGCTGTGCAGCAGCTTTGACATACCGCCGCACACCAAAACAACGCGAGTGTCGACTTTTAAAATCCTACGGTTATAGAGCTGGAAATAGTCAATCGCGTTTTTTGAACGTTTACTGAGTTCAGTAAACGGTAAGCGTAATATTTATACGGTTTTTGGACTGTTCGTTTAACACGCACACGAATCGGGCGAAATATTTTCGAAACAATAATAATAATAATATGTTCGCTGTGCGTCTATAGGAAATTTATGTAATTGACATCATGCATTTGCGGGGCACTGGTCGACCTTTGTGCGATGTGCCCGATGGCTTGAAGTCTTGTTCGGCAAACGGAGCCGTTGCGCGGGTGACGTGCCGATAGAGGGGTTTAGGGAGGGTCACGCGCGGATGAGTGTTTTTAACAATCTCATCGTCGCTGGCGTCCATTAACCCGATGACGAATAGCCGGGGGAGGGGAGGCCGCCCAATGACGAAATGCACGAGGGATAATGATATTAATTATTGTTGTTATATATATATATGGGCGAGTGTACATGGAGAGTTGAGTGCGCTCGTGTGGTTGAAAAATCGTGTGCGTTTATGTTTTATGATCGTCCGGAAATCATTTAGCAGACGTATAACATCGCGATGTGAGTAATGAGGATAACGAGTGTTCGCTAAATATTACACGCCATTCGGACATTACACGCCGTATTTCGATTACCTATATTGAAACGAAGGGTACGGAATAACGAGTGCTGCCAAGACGAAAATCGCATACCATCGACCTAGACGTGTGTGTAGTGTGTGTGTATTTCCGACGGAAAGCGAAAGAAAATGTACTTTACATCGTATCGTCGTCGACGGCGGAACCGTTTGCGCGCATTACATCGTTACATCCGTGGTAACAGAATAGTTAAATAATTACAATGTCACGATACCGGTTTGTGCCGTTAAATAATAAAAACAGATACGAAATTGTACACACATCGTTCCACAGTACCTACGACCCTGTTCAACAGGCCACGTTTAAAAACGAATAAGACAGAAGAACGTTTGCAGCATATTATTCTACATTATAGTATATTATCGTGTATTATGGGTAATCGTTTTTACGTACGGGCTACGAGTATGGCCATTCAATAAATTGTCCTTTAAATCATTATGATATCCTATTTTTAACACATAACACAAAATGTTTGTTCAATATATTTATTTACTAAATGGTCCGTGTCTTCGTTATATATTGCGTACTTTATTAACAATTAAACATTTAAAGGCCACTTGAATGAACACACTTTTATATCTAATCTGAGAAAAAAATCGATAAAATTGTTTTTAAAAATAAATTTGTTATAGTTTTTTTTTCTTTTTAAACGAAACTAGTTTACAATAAAATTTATAATAATATACCTATAATCTATATAATATAATTACCTATATTATATTATAACTTAATCGAGTTTGTATTTAAATCTAAAAATGATTGTTGTTCGATACAGGTAACCCGAGACTAATTTTAAATTATAATTTATATTACAATAGTTTTAAGCCCTCTGTTGGACGAGTCGCTGCAAAGCATTCGAGATCCTCGGGACGTATTTATTATTTATAAAAAATAATAATATATAATACATAAATATTTTATTTAAGGGTAAGTATATATTTTATAAATACGTCCAAAGTTTCTCGATGTTTTTTGTTTTTTTGTTTTTAATGGACTATATTATACGCGTTTTAGGCAACAAAATAATTGTAAATTAGCTTGAAATCTCGACGTCGGTTACTACATATAATAATATATTATAATAATTAGATCATAACAAATTCGTAGGTAAGTATTAGAATTTTATGTTATATAATATGTGTTACTATATGATATATAGTAACAGTCATATCACACGAAATCGTATGTCATAAAGATTGACGAATTTTTGATGGTCACTTAGTATAGACGTTTATAATGGTAAACAAAAATACATAGCGTATAGTTAAAAATAATAAGTATCATCAAAATTCGCAGTAAATTAACGTTCAATTAACATATATACACATTAAATAATTGAGTGATATTCGAAGGTGATCGATAATAAAATAAGTGACTAGTTTGGTTTGATAATAAAATGCAAAATAATACTGTTTAATTTACGATAGAATTCTAGATCATTTCGAGTACGGGCATATACTTTAATAATAAATTAGGTATTTTATTAGATTTAGCTAAACTAATTAATATTGCAGGATCGATTGATTCGCTTAATTGATCCTAGACTAGACAATATTATAGTGATAATCATATTAGAAGTTATATATATATATATATATTTATATAATATATATACTATATTAGAGGCAACTCGTGAGTAATAATACCAATATGTAGACTTGTGCGTATCACATAACAATCATTTTTGTTTATTGCAGATTGTTCGTTAAAATTCTCTTCGAATCGATTTTCAGCTGTAAATACAATAAATAGGACGAATTAAAATATTATATTTATAACGTAGGTCAGCGGGTGTAATTAATAATGACAGTAATAGTATGTTAAACAATTCAACTTCTACCGATGGGTTTGGTTTGGGCACTCCCAAATTTCCATTTCCAAACTATTTAAAAAAAATACATAAAACACGTTCCTTAAAAGGAATAAAAGGCACGGATAAAACAAATCTTTGAGCGACGGCTCAACGTCTAATCACGATATCGGTTTAAATTGATATCGTATATTTTGAGATTTATTACTAAGACATCAATAATCTCTTAATCATTGAAAAATGTTTCACGAATTTGTAATAAAAAAATGGTAAATAGAAAATAATTTGGCTTTTGGAAATTATAACAATAATGATTTACTTGAAAAATTTCTTTTGATTACAAATAAACTTAATAAACATTTTTAATAATAATAAAAATAATTTTGAGTAATTAACTTATTAATAAAAATATTCGAAATTTGTTAAAAATTACAATAAATCTTAGTTGTATATAGTTTTATTCATCAGATTTCCTATACAGATCCTTAAAAATATAATGTTATATAGGTATACTAAAATATGGCTTAACTTTGCAGTATATAATTTGGAAATAATAAATGTAAATTGTTGGTAATAAAGATTTTTCTATCAAAAAAGAAAAATTAATCTTAAAAACATACATTACTCACCAGAGTTAAATGTTTTATTTGGTAGAATTATTATTATTTAGAAGAATCTGAAGATTGAGAAGAGGTGAATTTGTTCGGATTAAAATCAAAATTGACAAATGAGAACCCTTGAAATTCTTCTTGGTTAATAGATAAAGTTACATCCACAGGCACGGGTGTCAATACTGGTTCTTCCTTGGTAAACTCGGCATCAAAGTTCATCGCGTCTTTTTTATTTTTCTAACAAGGAAAATAAAATACAAAAATTAATTGATTAAGCAACAATTTTGTTAAAAGCGATTCCTAAAGATTTTACTATACAATATTATACATTATTAGTACATATATATGTAAAAATTACAATTTTTGGTTTGAAAGGCGGTTTAACACGACGGTTTTCTAAGGCGTCCCAATCTAAATCTCGAAAAAATGGATGAATTCTTATAGCCGATTCCAAGCCATCAGCCACCACACAGCCAAGACGTTTGTTACGGTTTTTTGTCATGAACTAAATCGATAATACAAATTTTATTGACATAAATATAAACTATAAAGCATTTATAGAAATCTAGTTTGTAATTCTGATAAAATATGAATTGGCCGTCAACGCACGAAACAGCTGTATTAATTACCCCTTTTAAAATGGACACGGCTTCTTTACTGAGCCAGACTGGATAAAGAACGTCGTCGTGCAAAATAGATTCAAAAAGATCGTCTTCGTTGTCAGCTTCAAATGGTGGTTGGCCAGCCATCATTTCGTACATAAGAACTCCTAATGCCCACCAATCGACACTTGCACCGTAGTTTAATTCTTGAAGAATCTAATTACATTTTAAAATTAATTAAAATAAAAACCATGATAACAGATTGGGAAAAAAATATTGGGCAATTTCATACTTCAGGAGCTATGTAATCAGGAGTTCCACAAAATGTAGTAGTGGTTACTCCGTCAACTATGCCTTCTTTGCACATTCCAAAATCAGCAAGCTTACAGTGACCTTCATTGTCCAATAATATGTTATCCAACTTCAAATCTCTACAAATTAAACCAAAAGATTACAAATTATGTAAGCTGATATATTACAATCAGGCAAGTTTAATAGTGTAATTATGTATACAGTGGGTAAATATTGGTGGACAATGGTTAATAGTACCAATTTTTTAATTCAATAAAAACACTTGGGTACCAACGTTATTACATGCAATTTCAGTTCACATGACAATAGAATTTTTTTTTCTTAAACAAGTATATTGAACTTATAAAATTAAATACAAAACCCTAAATACCAACTTAAATACTTACAGACATATTGTATATCTCATATTTGATATACTTTAAATTAACAGCGACTATATCAATTATTAAACTGCTAGTAAAATAGAAAATTTAAATAAAATAATATATGATCAAGTTCAAGTACTGCAGAAATTACATACCATACAGTTTTTATCGAATTTTGCACTATAATCGTAACTTTTTAATGAATGGTTTTAGACAAAATTCCAGTGATCGTCATTGCATTATAATGTGTTTTACTAACTAACTACAACAATTACAGTATTTTTGCATAAATAATATGTATATTGAGTCATTTATGAATTTACGTATTAAAAACTCATATCAGATAGAGATTGTTTCAACCAAAAAAACAAAAACTAAGGGTGTGCCAAAAAGTGTCTGTTTTTGATAAACCTTAAAGTAAATATTAATTAATTATATACAATTTTTTAAGGGGTTTGGTAAGTTTTCACCAGAAAAATGTTTCAGGTAAGTGACTACATATTTAAAATAAGTTTCTTTACAAACAAAAATACACCATTTCATATTTTCTTGCACGACAATAAAACTATTTTTGCATTATTTTCTATACTGTTCAACTGTACTACTTAATTATTTAATTATTTACTATAGGGTGTCTCTAATATTTAGACTTATATTTATTACCTATGATACGAAATAGAACAGGGACCATTCATTTTATTGAATTCATTACTTGTTGATTATTTAATTTTTACATTTTTTACTATTATTTTATACATGTATAACATGTTGATTATATTTAAATTATGTACTATATGCCAAGTGACGTTGTTATGCTCAAAAATACATTTTAATTTTTTTCTGAATTTTTCTATTTTTATTTCCGTAAAAATTGTAGTCGAGATTTCACAAATATATATATATTTAAATAAGCCCAATTGATTCATTCGTTTTTAATTTATGCGCTTACGAACGAATAGCATTTAATTCATATAAATATATATTATATGCATTGGATTTAATTAAAATTAGATTAAATTTTTTTTATGTAACATAAAACTAAAACAATTTTAACTACACCAACTATATATTTTAGTTGTCAATTTTTAAATCTGAATAATATGGGAAAAAAATTTGTATTTGTAAAAATTTTTCTCGAGTAGGAACGGACGTATGCACATCGATACGTGATTTTTACTTGCTATATTTCATGTGGGAGCTTACATTAGTCCCAATCTAGTATGGCACTAGACATAGTAATTTCAAAGTTTAAAACGATATAGTTCTACGGACACGTGGGTTGTTTCACATAATCATATGTTGGACCAACCAATGTGTTTATTATAAACGTATCAATGATCTTTGAACGGAATTACTTATTTACCTATAAACTACACCGTGCCGATGAAGAAACTGCAAAGCAAGTGTTACTTCTGCTGCGTAAAATCTGGCACGTAGCTCGTCAAATTTCCTAGCTCTCTGTATTTGAAACATTAGATCGCCACCGTTCACATATTCCATGACGAAAAACAAACGATCCTATATGAACACATAATCATGTCAATATAAATAATAACTCAAAAACAGAGCAAGTATTTAAAATCAAATTGACTACACGTCATACTTTAGTCTGAAAAGAAGAATGTAAAGCCGTTAAAAATGGATGTTTAGCAGCGAGAGCTAAAATGCGTTTCTCAGTCATGGTGCAATCGACGTCGTCGTCCTGCACAATCACGTCTTTTTTCAACACCTTCAGGACAACAGACACAAATAATCACGTTAACAATTTTATTCATATTGATATTATATATTACTCATAGAATAAAATATATGTCGTACTTTGACAGCGTAGACTTCATCAGTTCCTCGTTTTTCAGCTAACATCACTTTGCCAAAACTTCCTTTGCCCAGAACTTTTATAAAATTAAAATCTGTTACACTCATTTTTCGATTACCTAAGTTAAAACAGCTCATGCTTTGATTCAATTTGGACATTTTGTCACTACTTCGTTTGTCCTGCAAGGAATTCTTATCAGACATATTGTTCAACATATTGGTAGATTGTTGACTGAGATCACGGTGCAAACCACTTCCACTTCCTGAAACACTGCTGACGCTAAAACTACCATTTCCACCAGGCCAGTCAACATTTTTGCTGACATTCAAACCACAGCTTCGTAATGTATCTGCCATTTCCCGAGGATTAATGCCACAATTATTCGCGACATTTTTCACACATCTTCTGTGCACATTTAGAGTACAAACTTCGCATTGC